ATTCCTCCTAGATGACCACAGGAACCATCAGATGTGGAGGATGGGTGCTGCTGCCCCAGGGCCTGGCATATACAGCAGGAACCCTCTTGGCTCTAGGCCCTCTCCCAGGCCTGCAGTGAGTTGGAGCCCCTCAAGGGTATTCTCAAGGGGCCAGTCCTTAGCTTCCTGGGTCAGAGAATTCCCAGGATGGGACAGGTCATAGCTGGCCCCAGGCTTCTTCCGGAATTTCCTGTTTCCTGGGAAGAGGCTGAGTTCATGTCGCTCTTCAGGCCTTTAACAGAGGACGGTGGGACTGGCTTGGGGAGGGCTCTGGAGCTGTCTAAATTAGGAACATTCAGAGTCTGGTCCCCAGGAAAGCTGAGTGCCTTCTGCAGGCACCCCAGGACCAATCATCTTGGCCAGTGGCTTTCCCCCCATGGAGCCTCTGGAGAAGGCACTCTCCTATCTCCCTGTAGGAGAATTGACCTTATCTTCAAGCACCTCTCCAGGGAGCCTGATCTGAGCATCCCAAGTAGATGTGGACACTCCCCCAAGCACCATGTGTCTCTCCAGCCCTGACCCCCACCCCCCATTACAGCCACTTGGCTACTGTCTTACCCTCTGCAGAACCTTCACATCTCTCCCAGAAGGGAGCCTGGTTCACTGTGCGGCTCAGTAGGTGCTTGATAAATTGTGTTCTGTGGCTCCATGGACTTGCCCCCAGCCTTTCTCCTCAGCCTGCCCACCCCTCCATTCAGGAAGTGGATCGCAGGGCTTGTCAAACCAAATCATAGCGTTAGAAGGCCTGGCTTTCCTGAGGCTAATAACTAGCATAGTTCTTCCAACCCCACCATCCCCTGGCTTTCCACTGCAGAGAGCAGAGCACAGCAGCTGCGTGAGGAGGTCCTGGCCTCCTCACCCCTCACTCCTGCCTGGAGATACATGGGCTATTGGGGTGCTTCCTCCCTCCAAAGTTGCCTCTGGTCTCCATAGTAACCGATTCTCAACTGGCCAAAAGCTCTGGTGGAGGTAGGGGAGGCCAGCAAATACTTGGTCAACTTATTGCCCTATGCCCCCCAGCTCTGCCCCAGTGCCCACCCTCAGAGAGCTGGCCATACCTTTCCCTTTCCCAAGCCTCAATTAGGCAGAGCTTCCTAACCGTTTCACATCATGACTGATACCCTAGGGTAAGGAAGCTACTAGTAGGCAGAGCATGGTAGCTTGCCTCCCCGGCTGCCCCAGGCCTTGCCCAGCAGCCTCAGGGCTGAAGGCAGCAGTATCTTCTCCTCAGACACACGCCAACTGGATGCCCCGATTAAAGGTGGCGCCTCCCTTTTGAAGAAAAGAAGAAAACTGAACCAACACAATTTGCTCAAGTGACATATTTCAATATAATCTCTAAAACTCTATGAATTGAACAGATAAAATACCTCTGGGCTATTTTGTTACAAAATATTTGCCATTTGGATTAGTCGCTGGGTGCAGCCACCCTGCCTTTCCCTAGAGAGGTTTCTCTCTGATGGGGTGGAGGGGTGTGTGTGTGGGGGAGGGACTGCAGCAACAAGGTATGTACAGCAGAACACAGAGACAGACAGACTGGGACAGCAAGGGCGGATTACCCAATAAACTGTTCACTGCAGATTAGTAAGTAAGAACAAGGAAGCCTATGCTTACCTTGCTTACTGGGTATTCCCTCCCTGTCACGAATTGTACATTTGAATTGAGGCTTTGATTCAGCAGGAAGGTGCTGTGGGGTTGGAAGACAGATGCCAGCCATACCTAGAAGCAGAATCTTTGATGTGGTGAAAAAATGTGAAATTGTTCACTATAGATTAGTAAATAAGCACAAGTAAGCCCACGCTTACTTTGCTTATTGGATAATCCAACACTTTGGGGCAGCCTATTGAGTACAAAGAGATGTTGTGGAAGGGTGAGGGTCAAGAACTCCAGGGGGCAGGGCCCGGGGCTGACAAAAGTATGCGGGAACCTTTGGAGACAGACTGACAGACAGACTTCCAGGACAAACTACCAGGGCAGAGTCTTGTTTCAGGTCTAGAGGTGACATTTGCCTAAGAGTGGGCGGAAAAGCTAGTTTCAACTCCTACTCTTGATTCTGGAGTTGGGGCCAAATGGATAAAATCAGGAGGGACCCAGGTCCCCTAAGTAAGGCTTAGAGAGTTGATAGAGTAGGACCATTTCGGGGTAGCCAGGGGGCTGGGACCTGGGCACCAGGCTGTGCCTGGGGGCTCCATCACACTTCGCTTCTGCTCAGCCTTGGGAGAGCAGTGGGGGCCAGGAGCATCTCCAGCTAGGTCCTCTAGGAGGGCCGGAGGCTCTGACTGGCCGCTGCCATTGGGTGGAGACAGGAGGCCCTTCCCAGGGCTCTGGAGGCTGGGTTGGGGGAGGGGGAAAAGGTGGACCCCAACTCAGTCTGTTGGCTGATAGGGGATAGAGCTTACAGGTGTGAAGCTCTTTCTTCTCCTGACATTAAGGAGGGCCAGCTGTGCCTCATCCCAGGGTTAAATGAGGTTTAAGCCTCTGGGAGCTAAATGCCTCAAAGCTCACGGTTGCCTCCATGTGCTGCTACCCTCAGGTGGCTTTGCTTGCTAGGGCAGGACTCCCTGTGCTGCCAGTGGGCCCAGGGCAGCCACCTCAGCACCATGCCATCCCCTCTCCACGGGGTAGGGAGCCGTCTACCCTGGTGAAGGGGCTCAGAGATGCCTGAGAGGCCAGATCCTCAGGGGAAAGGCCCTGCCAGCCCTCAGACCCTGTAGGCCCCCAAACTACAGGAAAAGCCAGGTCTCAGCAGAGGTGGGCAGGGAGGCGCCCATTCTACCTCAAAGAGCACCATGCCCATCACCAGGGAAGGAGGTAAACTCTGGGGCACAATGTGAGCAGGAGACAAGAAACTCAATAGTCAGGGGAGCTCAGCAGGCTGGCGGGGCTGTAGGGGGCTGTCCCCTTTCCTCAGCAGCCCTTGGTCCCCACCTATATTCAGCCATGCTCATAACTCATATTTCTTCATAACTCATACTTCACATGCCTCCCTCCCATTCATCATTTTCACTCACTTTTTTCAAAGTCTTATTTTCAGTCTCCCTCATTCAAGATCCATCCACTCTCATGCACACAACTCCTATGTCCTTGGCTCCTGCTGCCCAGAACTTCAGTTGTTACAGATAAGCCCTGCTTCGGTCAAGGGCATCAGAGGAGGCTGATTTGGGCACCCCATCTGCTCCATTCTGAAAGGTTCTGATTAGAGTATCCCTGTTAAGACACAAAAGATGGGACTAGGGCCATGAGGACAGTCATGAGCACATGGGCTGAGGATCCACAGCAGGAGGTGGTGGCAAACTGGCTGCAAGTTATGGAAACAGAGCCAACAAAGACAAGGCCAAAAATAAATCTGTGGGGTGACATCATAATGACGTCTGGGTGACCACACACATACACACAAAACTAGGTCATCTGTAACCTCAGGTATTAGGGGAAGAATCTTTTGTCTCCCAGTTGGCCCAGGGTACTTACTGCACATTTGGTCTTGGGGTAGGAGTTAAGCTAATTCACTTTAGACTTTGCTGACACCCACTTGCACCTTGCAGACCACTGTAACAATGAGTTCCAGGGGAAGGGGGATCCTAACACGGGACAGCAACTACCATTGGCACAGGACTGGAGGTTCAGTCTGGCTTGGGAAGACACTTCCTGAAAGGGTGGTGATTAGAACAGGTCAAGGCACCATCCTGTGGTCTCTGAGGCAAGGCTGGCCTCTTGTGGGGCCTGGGCTTGGTAAATCTGTCTAAAGGTTGCCTCTCAATTCTGCTTGGCATGGGGGAGGTTGACAAGAGTCCAGAGCCCCAGACTAGCTCTCCTTTGCACTTTTGAGGGTTCAGGGGCTCACTGAGCCACCCCTACTGGAGGCAGGTCTGGTGTGTCCCAGGAGGGGAGATTTAAAGGCTGAGGGGCTAGTTTGGATGGCCGATGGGGAAATGCAGGTGGTTGTGCAGTACCTGCTCCTATTGTCCTCTCTGTCCCCAAATCCCTTCTGGAGGCCACAGAAAGTCAAGCAACAAGGAGCTCCCTCCCTCTGCTGCTGGCTGCATTTGCCCTGGGAAATCACCTTCCGTATGTCAGCTTCCACGATGGAACAATGCAACCTGGGTCTGTGTACCCACCTGTGTACACATCCCAGTGGCTGGGTGTGTGGGGCTAGGGAACTAAGAAACTCTGAAAAAGGTGCATTTTGGCAGCTGTATGACCTCATGATTCCATGGTGCTATTGAACTGGTCATAGAGAACTGAGGGAGCTCCCTTTTCCTTCCTCCCTGGAGCTTGGAAACTTCTAGTCTGCACAGCCCTGGCCAGGCAGAGACCCAGCCTCTGGGAAAGCTAGAGGAGAAACCCTGCTGAGGACAGGCAACATCTCAGGGGATGAACAGCCAGCCTCTTGAGACTGCTGGGCTGGGGACAGGGGACAGCAGAGAAAGCTGGCCCTCCCTACACCTCCTCCCCACGTGGCTCCTTCAGGGAGCGAGTGCCAACCCTCCTCCACTCAGTCCAGCCACAGATGCACCTTATCCTGAGTTGTCAGGCCACCTTCTGTCCGGTGCTCTGGTGCTTGCTAGCCCAGCCTCCTCCAGTCCTGCCCACGGGCCTAAGACCCTGTGTCACTAGCAGACTTCAGGGTTTGGGTGGAGGCCTCCCACTCCTGTTTTCTTCAGTCTGTGGCCCAAATGGGGAGCATGATGGCAAGAGGCAGAGGAAGTTTCCCCACGTCCAGCTGTGCAGGGCCCCAGGAGAGTGAAGTGGTGTCTTGAGATTTGGGGATAGGGTGCTCAACCGAGTAAGGGAAGCATGGTCAGAAGAGGCAAGCCAGGTGCCACAGATTGGGGTTCTGGTTCCAAAACGACAGTGACTGGTGATGAGAATGTATGTCAGGGCGTGGGGAGCTGCAAAGGGGCAGTCTGGGCTGTTGGGCCCCCAGCAGCCAGCCCTCTGCGGACAGCAGAGTGAGGTGCAGTCTACACCAGGCTCCTTGAGCCGCTGGAGTAGCGCCGCCGGTGCAGAAGGGAGCCTGGTGGGCAGTACTGGTGCGGGTGGTTGTAGGGGGGTGGGGGTGGGGGCAGTGGAGGCTGGTGGATGACCTTGACTGGGGACCCTGGGCCACCCAGGGGTGTGGAGCCGCAGGAGTCAGAGGAGGACGAGGCGTAGCAGGAAAGGGCCTGGCTCAGCAGGGGCTCCATGCGGGCCAAGCAGGGCTTGTCCAGGACAATGACCTTGACAATTTGCTGGCACTGCACCAGGGTCCCCGGGGGCGTGGATGGTGGTGGAGGCAGCAGCAGTGAGGGCTGCTCTCGCAGGGGGCTAGGCTGCAGGTTTGGCAGCGGCGCTGGCACTCCCTTCTCGGCCCCCAGCGCGGGGTTGTGCTGAGACATTTGAAGCCTGTTGTGAATTGACACCTAGTTTAGAAACAGCCAAAGAAGCATGAAATGTTACAAGACTAATTCCCAGCTGCTAGGACTGGCTACCCTGAGCCGCCCTTTGCCTCCCCGCTCTCCCAGCTCCTGCTGCCCATTACGTGCACTTAGTCTTCCTTTTGACCCTTTCCCCTTCTGTCCACCTAGAGGAAAACTGGCTGCCAAGCAGAGGGCTGATCCTGCTTCTTCCCCAGAGCGACAGTAGAGTTGGGAGACTGACTCGTCCTGCTAGTTCTGCTACTGACTGTACAATCTCACCTTGCTAGGCCTCAGTTTCTCCATCTGTGAGATGGGTGGTTGGACTAATTGACTGTAGGGTTCTGCAGAGGTCTTATAGTCACATTACATGGGCCTGCTGGGTTGGTGGCTTGGGCCATGGCTAAACTTCACCTGCCTCCCTGTCCACCAACCTCAGAGCTTAAAAAGCAGAGATAATAGTCTATGTTCCCTCCCTGCCTCTCAGGGGTGTGCTGAGGACAAAGGGGGACTGGACACAAGGACAGTCAAGCATCTTTGAGCCTTCACTCCCCTCTCCTCCCACCAGCTTTGTTAAAGGGCAAAGATGTCCAAATCCCAGAATGTCAGGGATCTCAGAAGGGGTGATCTGGACCTACCCCACCCAGCAGACTCCCCAAGTCCATGAACAGCAACAAGCGCAGCCCAGACAGCCAAGGACAGAGTCTGAGACCCTGGCTGCCTTTTGGGTCCAAAGTGGGTCCTGGTAAATCTGTCCTGCTGCAGGAGGAGTTACCCAGAAAGGGCTCAACTCTTATCCATTGGGTGAGGCAAGAAGAGGTGGCCCAGACAACGCCCATGAGCCCCTTTCCTCAGACCATGGAAGTCACTGTGAGCCAGGCTGTCTTCCTCTAGCCAGCAGCGGGAGGTGAGAGAAATGGGTGAAGGGAGGCTAGAGGATTCTGGAAGGAGAGGGACTTTATTCCTTACCCTGCTCTATCCTCCAAGCTCCTTAGCTGATATGACCCACCACACCCGCACCAAATAACTCAAGGGAGATGACTGAGGCCCTTCTTTTCTCTGAGAATGTTTGCTATTGGGCCACCATCTGTCCTTTGACACCACGTCTCAGGGCCGGCTGCTCAGAACACAGCGGGGGAAGTTGAGGCTGCAGGGGAGGGGACTGTATCCCAGAGCCTAGATCAGGATGGCCCAGCCTGAGAGCCCATCTCAGAGCCCTAAGCCTGTTTATTAGCCAACAGTACAATTTCAGGGACCCCCTTTCCTGGCCCTAGGCACTCCTCATAGTCTCATCGAGGCCTGGTTCTTTAGTCCTGACCCTCAGTATTCACAAGCCCTTGACTGCCAAGCTCAGCACTTTGCCAGTCTTTATTGATCATGCTCAACCTCCAACCTCAGCAGCACTGTCTAGGCCTGAGGTCCCCTCAAATGAAGAAGCCCCTTGACCTTCTCACTGCCTTGCTGAGACCCATGGCAGACCAAGAGCAGGGCTGTGGCCCACCTTTTTGGTGGAACCTTAAAGCTGCTGGAGGGGGACAGGCTCCTCCCTCCATTTGCTTGTATCCTGAATTCTTCCCCAGGAGGAAGTGGTGGCCTGAGATAGCTGGGCAGGCTGGGCCTTTTCGGCTCACTTTCCCCAAATTTTACAGCTGCCCTTCCCCAGGCCAATGTCTGCTGCCCCATGCCCAGAGAACTGAGCCTCTCCCAGCCCCCCATCACTGCCATACCTCTCAGCCTCTTCTCTACTTCCTGCTTTGTGATCCCTCTCTCCACTGTCTGCACCTTCCTCTTCTAGCCCCAACCACCTTTACTTTAATGGTTCATAAGCAAAAAGCAGGCAGTGACAGCAAAACTCTCTTATTCTGACCCCCCTTCTCACCTCCCTGCTGATGAAAGAAAGAAAGCAGGGAAGAAGGAGGAAGGAAGGAAGACGGAACAAAGAAAGGAAAAGGAGGAAAGAGACAGACAAAGAGCCAAGAAAGGCAGTCAGGTGGAACATGAGTAGCAGGTCAGAACAGCTCAGAGATGATGGAAAAAGCGCCTGCCAGAGGGCTCGGCCAGGCAATGACGGAGAGAGGGCAGGGGAGAGAGAGCTTGGGTCCAGCTGAGAGGCCACGGGACGGCAAGGCTGTCCTCTGTGCAGGGAACAGAGGCTGGTAGGGCCCTGCAGCTAGCCAAGGGGTGGCAGCCTTGCAGATAGCCACATGCCCTTTGAGGTGGGGGAGGGTAGGAGGGAAGAATGGTACACTGGAGTGCTTGTCCTCTCTGGGCAGGTCAGGCTAAGGCATGGGCAGGACTGGCAGAACAAACGGAGGGCTGGTAACTTAGTGTGCTTATCTGCAAGGCTAGAGAATGGGCAGCTGCAGGAAGATGGGGAGAGGAGGGGGCAGAGGATGGAATACCCACCCTGGGGGCTTGTCAGCTGCTGGGGCAGGAAGCTCCTCCGTGTAAAGGTGCCTCCTCCAGACACAGGTGTGTGGGGGATGGGGGCCATAGAGGTGGAGGAAAGAAACTGAGCTCCCCTGGGGGGATCTTGGGGCTTCCCAGAATTTAGTTAGCCTGGTGGACCGGCTCCTCCTAAGAATTTAGTTAGCCTGGTGGACAGACACCTAAGTGCAGGTCCCAGACTGGGAAGCCCTTCCAGTGCGGAGTGGGGTTGGGGAAGGAGATGTGTGTGTGAGCAGCCAGTGGTCCCTGGAGGCCTGGCAGGGAAGGAGAGGAAGGGAGGGGCTCATTGAGGTGCTAAGGGGCCAGTGGGGGAGGCTAGGCCCAGCTAATCTTGCAGGAGCAACTGCATACCCCCAGGTGACACTCAGGGGTTTGGCAGAAGTCAGCTGCTGTTGCTATGTCCCTACTCCCTTCCCACTTACTGTCTTGGACAAAAGAATAGCTGAGAACCTGTCACTGGGGGATGGACAGTCTCTGGGTTTATCAGCTCTTCTCCCAGGAACCAAAAACTGAACCTGTTGCCATTGAGCCAGTTCAACTCATGATTCAGAGTAGAATTGCTCCATAGAGTTTTCAATGGCTGTGATCTGTCAGAAGCAGATCGCCAGGCCTGTATTCTGAGGACTCTGGTTGGATTCAAACTGCCAACCTTGTGGCTAGTAGCTGTGCATTTAACTATTTGCACCACCCTGGGGCTCCTCTCCTAGGAAAATCTCTAAGATAACCTCAACTCAACTCACCCCATTTGGCCCCATTTTCTCCATTTACCTCCCTGCCCCATGGTCAGCATTCCAGATGGACCAGCTGCTCCAGGCAGAAGTTCCTTCCTCCCAGCTGACCCCACTCTCAACTCTTCAACTTCCCCCAAGAGGTACCCAAGAGGGCAGGGTCTTCCCCAGAAGTGACCACTTGGAGACCTGACTTAGGGGTGGTTATTCTCTGGAGGGATACCAGACCTCTCCAATGGCAGGTGGGAGGATTTGAGGAAAGGACTATAAGGCTCTCTGATAATAGCAAATATTTGAGGATCAGTGAACAAGAAGCAGTTTGCTGGGGAAGTGGACTCTGGGGAGCATGGGAGGAATCACCCTGAAGGGTGTCATGGGCTTTGTGTCCACAGTTAGTCTGGGAGCTCGACTTTGGAGGGCGACCAGCTGGGGCACGCTAGGGTGGGAATGGGTAGAAAGTGCTGGAAGCTTTATTAGGCGCTAGAATAATGGCATTACCCATGCTAGCAGTAACTTTTAATTGTATCTCTTGAAATTGGTAAAATGGTGAGTCGGGCTGGGGAGGCATTGATTAATACCTGAGAAGAGAAACAACAGAGACGGTGAGAAGAAGGACAAGCGGGGGCACAGAATCACTCACCTCGGCAACCAGGCCTCCACTTACCTCCACCGTGTTCTCCACAGGCTTCTCCCCCAGCACCGTGTCCCTTTTGGCTTTGAATACAAAAGGCCCAAGGCTCAATCTCCACTGGCCTCAAACACAAATTCGCACCCCCTCCACCCCCAATCTCTGCAATTCAGATGATGTGGGCAGAAAGAGCCTGTGTGTCACACCATTCCCAGCCCTGATGCAGCCTGGGGCAGTGGCCAGGAAGTCACAAGCTCAGTGTTCTAGTTCTAGTCTTGCCATTCAGTAGCTGTGTGACCATGGGCAAGATGCTACACCTCTCTGGGCCTCTAAAAACTAGATCTCTGAAGTTCTTTCTGATGTTGACATTATTGAGTCTAATTTACCCACAGTCAAAGCCTTTCCAACACAGACTTTGAAAGTTGGCTTAGGAGGTGGGGACTGGCACTGGTTCTTTGCTCTCAGAAGCACAAGGGATTTCATTGTGCATGGATACATGTTAACCTGTCTCCTTCAAGCACAGACTGCTTGAGGGCAGGCACCCTGTTTCTTCCTTGTTCTTCTCCCTGCTACCTAGTAAACCAACTCTGACTCATGAGGACTCCGTGTGTGTCAGAGTAGAACCACCCCATAGGGTTTTCAGTGGCTAATTTTTCAGAAGTAGGTCACCAGGCCTTTCTTCCAAGGTGCCTCAGGGGACATGTGAACCTCCAACCTTTCAGTTATCAGCCTAGTGTGTAAACGTTAGCATTCCCAGGGACTCCACCTAACTTGGCAGTAAGGATTAAATGAATCGAGGCCAGTACAGCACTCACCACACTGCCTGGCATAGTAAACAACAACCAAAAAAAAAAAAAAAACCAAACCAAACTCACTGCCATTGAGTCGATTCCGACTCGGAGTGGTCCCCTCTTTGGGTTTCCAGGGCAGTAAATCCTTAAGAAGGAGCGCTCTGGTAGCGTAGTGCCTAAGGCACTTGACTGCTAACCAGAAGGCTGGCGGTTCAAACCCACCAGCCACTCCCTGGAAGGAAGATGGGGCAATCTACTTCCATAGTGATACTGCCTCAGAAACCCAAGGAGGGGTCGCTATGAGTCGGGTCTGACTCGACGGCACATAACACCAAACAACAACAAATACTTATGGAGGTAGATTGCCTAGTCTTCCTTCCATGGAGCAGCTAGTGGGTTTGAACCACTAACCTTCTGGTTAGCAATCAAATGTCTCAGTCACCACACCATGAGAGCTCTTGGCATAGTAAGAGCCTGAAAATGGCTGTCAAGACTACTAGGGAGGTTCTGGCAGGCTTGGCCAGCACCAGGGTCCCCATGGCCCTCCATGTCAGCTTGATGAGCCTTTCTGGCTCAGGTACTTCTAGTTCCCACCCCCAGCTCCACTAGGCATCTCAGGGCCCTTTAGCAGGAGCCCCCTGAGTTCTCAGACACCCCCAAGGGTGCTAGCTCCCCTCACTGTGCCCATCCCTCTGCTTTCTCTAGCACAAAGGGGAGCTGTGCTGTTGTTTGGGAACAATGAGAACATCCTTCTGTGAAGACTCCTCTTGGAAAAGTCCCTGGGACGCGCTTCTTGGCCTGAGGGGCTGTGGCATCCAAAATAGGCAGGCTGGGGTACGGGCTGTGGGTAGGGGGTCAGGGAAGATATCACAGTGGAGAGTTGGCTCTGGAATGTTAAAAGGCTGTGAAACAAGCCACAACCCATGCACTATGACCTTAGAGAAATGAAAGGGCTTTTGGAAAGCAGAACTATGATACTTGATTGCAGTCTAAACCCATAGAGAGAAGAGGATAGATCTCCACATAGCAAAAAGAGCCCCAAGTCTTGCTTGGAAAATGAATCTCCTCTCCTAGCTGGTGTGACCAGTTCCTATGGGGCTGCCTATTCAAATCGTAGTGTCACAGCCAAGTGCTAAGGTTACAGACCAAGATGAAAACCACTGGAATGTCTCCACTCAAGCTGATGTTTTGCAATGACCTTGCTTTCCAGTGCTTAGCACAGGGCACACAGTAGACACTCAATAATTATTTGCTGAGTGTAATAATAAGTGAATTTGCAAACAGTCCTCAGTGTTTGGTGGAGTTTTGTTGGGATGAAATTTAATCCTTACGTCATCTCTCCTTCTAATTCTCTTTTGTTCAGGGCTGGTGGAGTGGAGGTGGGGTAACTTTCTGTGAGTGCAGCAGGTGGGGGCTGAGGTTAGGAGCTGGAGGGAGAAAGATAGAAGCATGTCCATGGGAAGAAGGAAGCAGGTCTAGGTGAGCAGAGGTGAAGCAAAGTCTGCAGCTGGCTTTAAACATCTAGGTAAGTCATTCAATTTGAAGGAACCGTTTCAGAAATTGGGTTTGAGTTCTCATCTGGATTTTGGGGTGGACTGACTCTGGGATAAAGGAATGCTTAGGGCCTATTAGTGAAAACACTTTAAGGGGAAGAGCAAGAGTTCCAGACCTTTCTGACCATCCTTCTTCCTTGCTCTGGACTCTGATCTTCTACTGACACTTGCACCATGCATACACTTCTTTCTTATCTTCCCCCTAACTCCCAGCACTACAGCCCCACAAAACAAAGAAAAGCAAGCCTGGAGTTCCTCCACAGAAACAAATGGCCATGGAGACTAGCACCCACCCAAATTCCCCAGGAAACGAAGCCCAGGGGCTATGCATGGCCTCTGTGGGCCCAAGGCTCTGAGCAGAGCTGTGGCTCACCTGTAGGTGATCCGTGCTTGGACTGTGGGTCCACCTGTGCTCCACTGGACTTGAAGGAGAGGGTCTTTGCTCCCTGCTGTTTCTCCAGCTCCCCTAGGGGATGGAGAAGCCCATAAACAGTTGTTGTTGTTAAGTGCCGTCGAGTCGTTTCCGACTCATAGTGACCCCATGAACAGCAGAACAAAACACCGCCCCTAATCCCATGCCAGCTCCATGATCCCTGCTATACTTGAGTCCATTGTCGCCCATGAACAGAGAGCAACCCTTACCCTTGACGGTGCAGAGCTGAGAGGAGAATGATGAGAGAAAGCAGGAAGAGGAGGAAGAGGGACACTTCAAGCCTGCTACAAAAACTTTGGAGTCTGGCCATAGTAGCTTTGAATCCTGACCCTATCACTTAATTGCAAGTTAAGTAACCTCTCAGAGACTCAGTTTCCTCATCTGTATACCAGGATGATAATATCTACTTGGACATCACAACAGAGAGGCAGTGAAAGAGGTTAAGAGGAAGGTGGCTGCCTGGGTTTGAATTCTGGTTCAGATGCTTCCTGGTGGTGTGGCTTTAGGTAAGTTACTTAACCTCTCAGTGCCTCACTTGACAGCCAGTGGGGTCCACTTTCAAGTGTTGTAAAGAGGATTATGTGAGAAAATGCATTTAAAGCACTTAGAACAGGGTCAGGCATTTATTACAATGTATAAGAAGCCCTTAGCACACAGCAGACTTTAGGACTGTTGGCTAGTGAGGTCTCATCATTACTGCCCTCCCCTGACCACCCCCTACTTCCTCAGTGCCTGCAGGCCTGAGCTTCTGTAGGGTTTCCAAAGCCATTCCAAGCAGGAAATCCCACGTGCCTGCACAGCCAAGACATCTGTCCTGGTGCTCAACTTTAATTCCTCTCACTGGACTATAAACCTGTTCCTTCTTGTTCTTCCCTCAGCGGTGTTAGAGATCTGCCAGTTACCATCCTTGGAGACTTGACAGTCATTATTAAATCACTCCTCCAGCTTCTCTTTTCCAGGAGACATAATTCAAGTTCCTTTTATTAAAGCGACTCTCCTGGGTCCCATTTCCTGTCTTTCTGGTTGTCTATAATCCAGGAACACTGAACTGCAAACCCCCAAACCAGAACCATCTGCACCAATTGCCTGAATCACACCATCAATCAATATAAATATTTTTCCTGAACTGAAAGTTGGTTCTCTCCCCACAGAGGGGCTGTCTCGGATTTGGAGAAATTAGCGTAATAATTATAAGCAACCCGGGTGCACTTCTTATCTTGTCACTGACTGTGAACTTGGGCAACTTTCTTAAGCTCTGAGCCTCAGTTTCTTCATCTGTAAAGTGAGGATAATAAACCTTATTATATAGAGGAGCCCTGCTGGTGCAGTGGTTTAAGCATATGGCTGCTAACTGAAAGGTCAGTGGTTCAAACCAGGGCTTTGCATTAGCTCATTCTGGTTTGAATCCCACTGAATATTTGCATTTCCACCCCCAGATATACAGAATCAGAATCTACATTTTAACAATATTCCCAGGTGATTCTTATATAATCTTTACCGAAGCAGACTGCTCCCACAGAGTGGCTGGTGGGTTTGAACTGCCAACCTTTTGGTTAGCAGCCAAGTGCTTAACCACTGTACCACTAGGGCTTCTTGCTTTAGGAGAAAATAATATAGTAGACGTGGCAATCAGTCTGGTGCCTGACATGTAATCAGTGCTCAAGAAATGGTCACTGTTACTGTTTTTCATTTTCTTTTTTCTTACTTTCTTTTTCCTCTGTGCTCCAACCAGCCCTTCATCTTCTCTCAGCTATTCCTTCCCTTCTGTATGTCTGAACAAGAACAGCCAAAGGTAAACCTCTCTCCCCGCTCCCTTGCCCTCTAGACAGCAGGAGAGGGATATTCACCTCTTGACATAACAGGTTCTGACAGTATCTACTCCTTTGTACTTAGAAGGGATGTGATGTAGGGCTCTCCGTGAGGGGTGGAGGGAGATGTCTCTTCCAGCTAGTGCTAGTCAGTGCCTATGGTTCCCTAGGGCTGTGTGGAGCCATCTGTGGCACTTTGAAAACGAAAGAAGCCATTTGAGGGTGTGTCCTTGAGCTGTTTTAGAATAACAGCTGGGGTGGGCATCTCTGGGCATCCAGGCCAGCCCTTGCAAAGCTTCTGTTTGCTACACTGCTGAACTCAAGTATGCCAATTGATTGGGAAAATGGTATTTACATGTCTCACCCACGGCCCCCACCAGTTACCTGAGTCTGGTGTGGTGAATTTTTTGCTTTAACCTGATTTGGATTATTTTCTTGGGAAATTATAAATAGAACCTCTTCTTGTATTCTCAGAGAATAAAGGGCATGAGCTTTGAAATCAGAGTTTAATGTGAATGCCAGCTCTTCCCCTTCTAGTGTGTATGACCTGGATGTGCTATTAACTTCTCTGAGCCTCATCTGTAACACAGGGACAGTACACCTCCCTGCTCCACAGGGTTTTCACATCTTGGAAGGCTATGACATCTTGGAAGCAGATCACAGGTCTGTCTTCCGAGGCACCTCTGGGTGAATTCAAACCATCAACCTTTTAGCTAGTAGTCAAGTGCTGGACTGTGTGTGCCACTCAGGGACCTCACTGTGAGGATTAGCAGAATATAGATAAAACTACAGCGCACATAAGGAGCCCTGGTAGTGCAATGGTTAACCGCTTGCCTGCTAAGCAAAAGGTCAGTGGTTTGAAACCACTAGTGGTTCCATGGGAGAAAAGACCTGGCAATCTGCTCTCACAAAGATTGTTGTTGTCAGGTGCCGTTGAGCCAGTTCCAACTCATAGTGGCCCTGTGTACAACAGAATGAAACACTGCCCAGTCCTGCACCATCCTTACAACCTCTGCTATATCTGAGCCCATGGTTGCAGCCACCGTGTCAATCCATCTTGTTGAGGGTCTTCTCCGTTTTCGCTCTCTACTTTCCCAAGCATGATGTCTTTCTCCAGGAACTGGTCCTTCCTGATAACATGACCAAAGTATAAGAGATAAAGTCTCACCATCCTTGCTTCTAAGGAGCATTCTGGCTGTACGTCTTCCAAGACAGATTTATTCGTTCTTCTAGCAGCCCTTGGTATAATCAATATTTTTCACCAACACCATACTTCAAAATGCATCAGTCCTTCTTTGGTCTTCCTTATTCATTAGATTATAGCCCAGGAAACCCTATGGGGCAGTTCCACTCTATCACACAGGGTGGCAATGAGTCAAAACTGACTTAATGGCACACAGCAGCAACAACATCTCATACACAGTAGGTGCTCAACAAATAGTGATTAAAAAGCACCACCCTTGTCATATTGGGCCCCTGCTCAAAAAACTTTGATTGTCTTCTTACTGCCTAAACTTATTGCCACTGAGTTGATTCTGACTCAAAGCGATGCCCACTGGGCTTCCAAGGCTGTGAATCTTGGATGGCTGCCCAATCTTTCTTCCATGGAGTGGCTTTTTGGTTAGCAGCCAAATGCCTTAACCACTACACCACCAGAGCGTCTTTCTTATTGCCTAGTGGATTTATATTAATTTAGAGACACTTTCCAACTACGTGGCCCTATAAAGCAGATTTGAAATATATTTTTATTTCGTTTCAGTTTTAGAATCTATTCTTATTTTAGTTTTCTTTAAAAGCTATCTGAAGCCCCCTGCAGTGCTCGAATGGTAAAGGTTTACAAATGGGCACCAGTGGCAGACCATTGCTGTGTTTTTCTTAAACCAAAAAGCAACTGGTGAACCACCCAGATGTGTGACGAAACAGTCACTGTAGCATCAACCTCAACTCATGGTAAGCCCATGTGTGTCAGAGTAGAACTGTGTTCTGTAGGGTTTCAACAGTTGACTTTTCAGAAGTAGATTGTCAGGCCTTTCTTCTAAGGTGCCTCTAGGTGGCCTTGAACCTTCAATATTCTGGTTAGCAGCTGAGAACATTAATCATTTGCACCACCCAGGGACCCCAGAGATCCACGTATTTTTGAAAATGCCTGAATTGGAACAATCAAGAATCAAGGCATCCCACAGAGAAACATCACTCAAATCAAAAGATAGACAGTCTAGAAGGAAATCAGCCTAGGTTCTTTAAAGACCCATGAAAATGGGGAGATGATTCTGGATTAACAGATTATAGAAGTGAAACAACCAGACGTGATAAGTGCAGCTTGACTGTACCCTGGGGGGTTGCTGGGGTGGGGGGAGCTATAAAAAGACATCTTGGTGGGAGAACAGAGTCTGAGCTCCAGGGACCTCTTTGCTTGCAGCCCTGCCTTGGTCAGTTCACTTGGACGTCCTGGTCAAACACAGCAGAGTTCTCTGTTCCAAGGGACCCATGTGCAGCCCCACGGGCCCAGCTGGGCATGCACACTGTAGTGTACCTGGCTTCAGCTATGAAGAAACACCAAGAGTAATGTACCTGCAACTGGTCCTCTTGCTACCAGTGGCAGGGCAGTGGAAGCGAGAAAGAGAGCAAGGGGTGGAAGGGGGGCTGTGGCTCACCCCACACTCACTCCAAATGGGGCAAGTGCAGAGCCAGAGCTGTGTGTCTGTCTATAGGCTGAGCCTATCCCTCGCTGACTGGGTTCCCACCCTCCCCACCCCTGCCAACTGACCCTGGGTTCACTGCATCCTTACACTCTATCCGGATCTGCTCCAGCTCTGTCACCTCAGCAATGGACTCCTTCAGGTCCTCCACAAACTTCTGCATCTCGTCTGAGCCCAGGGCACAGAAATGCAGCACCTGCTTCTTCTCAGAGCCCGAAAGCGGGGTCACCAGTGTGATGCCATGAGAGTAATCTGGAAACCAGATCCCAAGACCCCACTGGGCCGTGAACAGTGGGGGCCAAGGGCTAGAGCCTCCCTCCACTGCCCTACAGCCATAGCCCTTCTCCCTCATCTTCCCCCAACCACCTTCTACTGGTCTACACCATGTCCTGATGGACTCAGACTTACATTCATTCTCAAAGAGGTGGAACTGCATGCCCAGCAGGCCAACGGACTTGCAGAAAGTGTATGTGGAGGAGCTCTTCTTCTTCGGGCAAAGTTTGAGAATCTGTTCAAGAGAGGACGATAGACATGCACTGACAGGCATAAATTCACACAAACGGACATGCACACAAGTGGAGGCATGAGCACCTAGAGATGCCAGATATGGTTTTGCAAGCACACAAGTAAACACACACAAAGGTACACACACATATACATGCACAGTCACACATTTAGGCTGCATTCACACACACACAAATACACACATTATATCAAAATATCTTTCTTCCTCACACAAAACCATCCAGTGGCTATCCCTACTATATTTAGAAGCCAATCCATATTTCCTGCCCTGTCTTATAAGTCCTACTTGGTCTAGCTTCATGCTGGAACCACACTGTCCTTCCCTCGGCAGCTTGAACAGGGCAAGCTCAGTACCATGACAGGCCCTTCACTATTTCTTTTTCTCTCCTCAAAGCTTTTTACATGGCTGGATTGTTCTCATTACTTACGTCTTATAGAAAGTTACTTTCAAGAGCCCTTCCCTAAGCAACCCATCCACAAAACCAACAAAAACAAAATAAAAGGAAACAAAAAAACCCCCTCCCTAATCCCAGTCACTCTCTATCCTATTGCCATTTTATTGTCTTCAGGGTACCTTCCCCTCACACCTGATATGATCTTGTTTGTTTTCTTATTTATTTTCTATCTCTCTCCCTACTAAAATGAAAGCTCATGAGCCAGTTGTTGTTGTTGTTGTTGTTATGTGCCGTCCAGTCGGCCCGACTCATAGCGACCCCTCCTTGGGTTTCCGAGGCAGTATCACTACGGAAGTAGGATTGCCCAACCTTCCTTCCGAGGAGTGGCTGGGGGGTTTGAACCGCCAGCCGTCTGGTTAGCAGGCAAGTATCTTAGCCACTATGCTACCAGAGCTCCATTAGTTGTTCAATAAACAAATAATTGTTCAGCACCTCCTATGAGTTGGGGTCTGGGGATACAGGAGAACAGAAGACGGAGAGAGCCCCGGACCTAAAGGTGTTTATGTTATCATGGAAGAAGATAGTCAATATGTAAGGCAATCAATCAGCATAAAGAAACCAAGGGAAGAAATAGGTAAATACTTAATAAATGTATTTAAGGGGGGGAAAAAAAAACATGGTACGAAGAAAGGGCAACTGAGTGGGCTCTTAGTTAGGTGGTCTGGGAAGACCTTTCTGAGGAGAGGACATGTGAATTGAGACCTGGATGAAGGGAGGGAGGCAGCAGTGCAAAGACTGCAGAGGCTGCAAGGAGCTTTTCTAGCAGGAGTGACAGGAATAAAGGCCTGAGAGGGGAGTCCGCCTGTGGGGAGGCAGCTCCTGGCCAGGGTGGCTGGAGCAGAGCAGCCCAAGGAGGGGAGCAGTGGGGCAGGAACAGGGTGGGGCAGGGGTGGAGTGGGGGGAGTGTGAGGTCAGGGCCAAGGGAAGTCCTGGAGGCCGTGGGCCAGGCCAGGGAGTTACAGGAAGCTAGGGGAGAGCTGAGGGGGTGGAAGTCTGGCAGCCTGATTTGTGCTCTAGAAAGGTGACTCAGCTGTGTGGACCATGGAGGGGCAGGTGTGGTGATGGGAGACCAGTAAGGAGGTGACCTTGTAATCCAGTTGAGAGGCTGGGGCTGCAACTAGAATGCAGCAGTGGAGGTAGTGAGAGGTAGTCAGATTTGGGATGAACATGACTCACTGAGAGAAGGGATATGAACAAGACATGAAGAAAAGAGGAAGTCAAATCCTGTTCCCTACTGTTTTCCCAGCTCTTACAATGCCTGGCACATAGCTGAGACTCGTAAAATATCTGTGGAATGGATACTTATTTTCAAGGAGTGAAGAACAAGTACCCTGCAGATGTGTGAGCACACATGGACATGCACATCAGCATCTCTCCCAACCGGGCTATGGGTACATCCTCCATTCAGGCCTCCCTTACTACCTTGCATACCTGGGACTGAAGCACATTGCCACACCCTCCCTGCTCCAGGCTTCCTGTAAAGTGGGAGAGGCCAAGGGTATGGGATCGAGTTCATTTCCACCATGACTGTGTAACCATAAACAGATACTGTAACTTCTCTGTGCCTCAGTTTCACAGCCTATAAAATGGGAATTATCATATCTGCTCCAGCTACCTCCTATCCCATGACATGAAAGGACCATGAGAACTGTAAGCAATCACACCATAAATAGTGTTCTGTTAGAAGATAATGGTAGTCAGGGCAGGCCTGATTCTGAGAGTGAATGAGAGTGAACCCTTCTCCCCTCCGCCCTTCCCACTCACCACCAGCAGGTCATTGAAGAGGAACACCTCCCTCTGGTGCGCGGCCTGCTTCTGCAGCTTGTTCACATCTGTCACCTCAAAGAGCCGGCTGCAGCAGACCAGGCGACGGTGGGGCACCGACAACACCTGGAACCAAGGCGTGGCACTCAGCAAGAGAGGCCCCAGAGACCCAGGCCCTCCCTACCTCACAGCATCCACTTTCCAGAAGAGGCTCAGAGAGAGGAGGGGGACCAAGGATGACCTCAAACTTCTGCCCTCCTCATCTGGGCTCTGTCCCCTTCATCATACTTCTTGGGCAGTTAGAGGAAAAGGAGTTCATCTCACTGGAGACAATGAGGAGAGAAATGAGTAGGGGATTGGGAAAGGAAATTGAAAAGAACTTCCAGATCATTCAAATCCAGGCATTGTCAATCTTTTTTCCTTCTAACACTTGTAGGAATGACACCTCTGTCTCTTTTTCTACTGTACATACAAAGGCAAGTGTGTAAGATGAAGGGATTCCAGATTGTTATGGTTTGAATTGTGTCCACCCAAAAAAATTTGTTGGAGTCCTAACCCCTGGTATCTGTGAAGATGTTATCAGTTAACATACCAGAGTAGGGTAGGTCATAATCCAATTGAGTGGTGTCTCTATAAAAGAGAAAGGACATGGAGAGGCAGATAGAGACCACATGAAGCAGAGACAGAGACTGGAGTTATACTGCAACTGCAAGCCAAGGAACACCTGGGGCTACCAGAAGCTGGGCGAACTGAGGAAGGATCTTTCCCTTAGAGGCTTCTGAGAGAGCATGGCCCGGCTGATATCCTGAATTTGGACTTTTAGCCTCCAGAACTGTGAGACAATAAACATCTGGTGTTTAGAGACACCCACCTTGTGGTACTTTGATATGCCTGCCAATGTATAGGGATACCTTGAATCAACTCCAGTGTGTAATACAAGCCAATCATTGGCAAACCAGACAAACTATGACCTCAGCGATAAAGGCTCTGACGCAGAAAGGGCATCCCTGCACAGACAGAGTAGATCAAGCCCACTGCAAAGGCCCCTGGGAAGCTGCCTCCTGAGCTAGCTCCTCAGGGAGGGGGAACTGGAGATGAATACTAGAGCATGCATCTCCAGAACCGGGGAGAAACCAGTTGTTGTCGAATCAGCCTTGGATCATGGTGACCTTGTATGTGTCAGAGCAGAATTGTCCTCCACAGATTTTCAGTGTCCAGTTTTTTAGAAGATAACTAGGCTTTTCTTCTGAGGCACCTTTGGGTGGGGTTGAACCTCTAACCTTTTAGTTAACAGCCAAGTGCATTAAGCATTTGCACCACTCAGGAACTCCAGAACCTATACAATATCCTTATGGAATGAAGAGCCCCTGCTGACATATAAGTAGTTTAGTAATCTACAGAGAATGCTCTCTTTAAAAATCATTACAACTTTGGAATACACCACCTGTCACACAGCTCATGACTGACTGGGAACCCCAATGAGTTGAGATACCATAGGTGTCTCTATATTTGGTCCATTTCCTGTCTTATATTTCACTAAGACTATCCAGGAATGCTTGGTGTCCATTCCATGCTAGGAAAGGGTCTCCATAATGGCCATCCATACAGATGTTTCAACCCTAGACCACTGGGAAGTCTTTCTTGACATCTCACCCCAGTCTTTCCTGCTGCAGTATCTGCTAGCAAAAGGCAATAAGGATATTTGGCAAGAGGAAGAAAAAGAGGATACACAGCATGACATGTAGTGAGCACTCAACTGTTTTTTAAGAGAATGAATAAAAGGAAGATGCTTTCGAAAGGGAAGGAAAAGAATGAGAGGTAATATCAGGGAGAAAAAAGGAAAGGCAATGAATGGGAGATGGGGTGGTTTGGCAGCCATGAGAGAGGAAGTTGAGCCCCAACATGGCAGCAATGCTCTGTAGGGAACACTTACTGTCTTCATGCCCACAATGGACTTCTCCACCTTGGTGACATACGTGACATGGTCCTCATTGGACTTGAGCTCCTTCTGCTGTATCCTTTCATAGATGCCCACCACCAGCTCCCTGGGGATGTCAACACCATCATCCACACCTACCAACATGGAGAAGAGCTTGAAGGGATAGGAGCCAGAGAGAGCAAACCCCATACCAGATTGATGCTTCTAAAGGGTGACCTTGACTTTGCCACATTCCCATTTCAAAGCCTTCAATGGCTGCTGCCCATACCCACTCAGTAAAGCTCAGCAGAAAAACTACTATAATATAGTCCTGACACACATCTCCAGCCTCATCTCCTGCTGTTCCATAGACAGAACCTTCCCTCTCACTTCCCAGGATGCTTTCCTGACTATTTCCAGCCTCCATGTTCCTCTTAAGAGCCTTTGCTTCTGCAGCTCTGTCTCCCTGGAAGGTCTGGATATTTGTCTTAAACTCCCCTCCATGTGAGCATCCTGAAGCCAGAGGTTCTGTTTTGTCCTCTTTTGGATCATCACATGCCAACCCCCAGGCCCTCACCCCACTGCCAGCAGGAACACAGTGTTCAGTGAGTAGGTGATGAATGAGAAACAAGATTCTCCCCTGTGTGTGGGGAGTAGGGCATTAAGTAAAAAGGAGCAGGGCAGACCACTGTGGTAATACAGGTAATTAAACCCTACCCCATCTCTTACTTCAAAGTAATGACAGAACTCTGGCAACAACAACAACAACAATACTGGCAGAAAATATACCAACATGAAAATAGTTTCTTTTGGAGGTAGAAACAGTGGCAATTTAGAAAAAAAAGTCTTATTTTATTTTTTCCAAGTCTTTCTTTAATAAGTATATGCTTCTTTTATAAGAGCAAAAAAATTAAAAATAAAATAACTTTGGCAAGTGTCCTCAAAGGAGTTTTCCCAACTGCTGAGAAGATATTATGCCCACTATGAGCAACTTCCTGTCTTTTCCTTGCTTGTTCCTTATCTGAACTTGTTTTTTAAAATTGGACAAAATGAGCCATGCAGTACCTTTCAGGGCCCACAAGAAATCCGGGTGAGGGCAAGAAAGAACAGGGATAAAGAATGAACACACAGATGCTTCCAAATGGAGATGGAAACTTGGATGCTTCTGCTCCCACTGAATACTCTAGTAAAAAAAGAATTTTTTCTTAAAGGCATAAACCGACAAAGATAAAGAGAATGGGAGAAGAGGCAATAACACCACAGGATCTAGAAACTGAGTGGATGGATGAGTGGATGGATTAGAAAATCTGAGAAAGCTGAAACCTATGCCAACAGAGAGGTTAGAAGTCACCCAACACACCACGGAACCACCAAAGTGTTCTGGAATTCATGGCAATAGAGATACAAACCCCTGAAAGCTGAGGTAAATGAGGGCTGGAAGCAGGAAAATAGGTTGAAAATAAGTTTTAAAAGCACATAGAATTCCCTATCCCCTCCACCACTCCTGTAAAAGACTAGGTGATAATCCTCTGGAAGGGGTGAACGAGGAATTCTGGGCTGGGGCACTCTAAGCCAAGGGTGAGAGTCCATAGGGGATGAAGTTGATGTCTAAATGCTGAGAGGCCCCTCAACCCTATTTCCCGCAAAGATCTCAGAACACCAAAAGCCAGACTCATATCCTTTGAGCAACAGACTGGACAGTTCTTTTTTGGGGAATCAACCAGCACAAGAAAAAATACCTAAAAATATTGCAGTAGGGGTTCCCCGAAAAACAGCTCAACTAGACCACCTTTCTAGAAAGCCCACCAATCTGCAGTCTTCATCCACGCACACAGAGTTTTAGATCAGTTTTTAGTGGCTCACCCTTAAATATGACTAGACAACCAAGTCTAACCAACTATGTGTAAATAGTCTAAAACATAAAAGAGAAAGAGATACAGGGAAAAACAGAAGAAATAGAGGCAAGCAGGGAGAAGGAAACTGAACTAAACACACAAATAACAACGTATCATTAATATCTTCAGAAGCATGAGAATATACTGCATCTGTGAAACAAGAATGTTGTTGTTGTTGTTGTTGTTTGCCGTCGAGTCGGCCCTGACTCATAGCGACCCCTCCTTGGGTTTCCGAGGCAGTATCACTACGGAAGTAGGATTGCCCAACCTTCCTTCCGAGGAGTGGCTGGTGGGTTTGAACCGCCAGCCTTCTGGTGAGCAGTCAAGTGCCTTAGGCACTATGCTACCAGAGACAAGAATAGTTACTATAAAAAAGGAACATTCAGAGAACAAAAAAGAACTCTTGAAAATGGAAAATATGGCAGTAGAAATTAAAAACTTAGAAGAATGAGTGAAAGATAAAGCCGAGGGATATCTCCCAGAAAACTGAACAAGAACACAAAGATGGCATGTAGAAAATCTATGGAAATTAGAGGAACAAACTAAGATATTCAGCATCTGAGTAATACAAGTTCTAGGAAGTGCACATAGACGGTAAAAACTATCAAACACAATACTTAAGAAAACTTCCCACTTGTGAAGAACATATGTTTCTACACTGAAAGAAACAACTTAGTACCCAGAACAGTGGATGAAAAAGACCTATCACAAGACCCATCATCATTAAATTTCAGGACACAAAGGAGAAGCAGAAGAACCAAAACGTTTTCGGAGAGAAAGTAATAATAACAATAATACACAAAAGGTCAGAAAATAGAATGGCAGAGCAACACTGTCAACTAGAAGACAATGGAGTAATGCCTTCAAAATTCCAAGTGAAAATGTTTCCAATCTGGAATTCTATTCCCAAGCTTCCAATCAAGGATGAAGATAGAAAAACATTCAAACATGCAAGTTCTCACACTCAAAGGGTGCCTCCAATATTCTTTTCCTCTGAAAGTAAAAATGAGGAAACTATAAAATCCAGGAAACAGGAATCCAACACAGGAGCAAACTGAAGGAGATTCCAGGATGATGGTGGAGGGAGATACCATGGTGACAGCTATGCCTCAGGCCTAGCAACCTGTCCAGACTGGAACAGAACTAGAGGCTCCAGAAGAGAGAGCTCCAAGAAGCAGAAACTCAAGATACCTCCTAGGTTTAAAAGTATTGAGAGGGGCACCTAGCGTGGAGAGTTTGGGGATAAGTTAGTGGCAGGATCATAGAGACCTAAGCAAATGGACAAAGAAATTGTAATCATTATATACATTAAGATCCTGCTTTGGATTGTTTACCTAGTGTCGGTAATATAAACACTGATCTAACACAAATGATGGTTTGCTACCTGTCAGATGGTGCACTACACCAAGCCAAACCTGTTGCCATCAAGTTGATTCTGACTCATAGTGAACCAGTGGGACAGAGTAGAACTGCCTCATCAGGTTTCCAAGGCTGAAATCTTTATGGAAACAGACTGCCTCATCTTTCTCCTGAGGAGCAGCTAATGGGTTTGAACCACAGACCTTTTGTTTGGCAGCTGAGTGCTTAATCACTGCCCCACCAGGGCTCTTTCAGTGCACTATATAAATTAGAAAAAAGACTTGGAGTTGGTAGATGCCATAAAGTTATCTGCAAAGTTGACTTAAACAGACTCAGGACCCAAAAGTCCTGTTCTTGGCTCTTCCCTCATAAGTCGTGGGGTGGGAGGGTTTGGTACCAACTATGATGCCAGGGATCTAGAGGTCAATGTTTCATGGATGGCACGGGGGCATTACCCAAAGGCTCTTACTGCTTTGGGTGGGGCAGTGGCAGTAGCTCCTAGAAACTCCCCACCCAGATACCTGGCATGAAAGTAGCTTTCCCAGCCTGCTATGCATAACCAAGCGTAGAGATCAGCATGCAGTGCCCATGGCCACTGAGGTAACAGTCTCAATGGGGGCTCAGACTCACTGTCTCCTTTGGAATTAACACTGAACAGAATGTGGACCGAGCAATGGCCTCACCCTTCCTATCCCGTCCCCACCTCCTCACCTCGCAGGTTTCGGATAAAGTCCTCTAGCATCATCTTCCGATCAGGCTTAATGTTGGGGCTGTACATGTCGGTGTTGAGGAGGATGATGGCGAAGGCGAGGATGAAGATGGTGTCAGGGTTGTGGAACTGCTGCACCACCTCAGGGTTGCACATGCAGTAGCGCTGGCTGCGGTTGGGGAGACATGGAGCCGGATACTGACACCACCTCCTTCTACCTCTCCTCTAAGCTCCAGCAATGCAGGGCTGTCCCAGGAAGGCTCCCACCTCAATTGCTCATTACTGTCTGACCCATATCCAGTCCTCTTCTCCAGTGAATGGACAATTCACTGGAGAAGATTTCACACACCTGCAAATTCCCCAGGACCCCAGCCCTCACAAAGAAGATGCTCAACACAGGTTTTCTTGTTGACAAGGATGGGTGAGGTACAGTCCCACCTGGTGGACTCCATCTAGTGTTGCTTCCAGCTCAGAGACCTCAGGGATTCTGTCCTTTTTCTTTCGTTCTCACCTTTTTATCCAGCCCACCTCTGCCACCTACACCAAAAGGGGCTCTCCCCACCCCCAAATGACCCTCCTGTATCTCCCAACCCTGAGGCTCACAGCAGCTCTGCTTGTCCCGCCCCCCACCCTCATGCCCCAGGCATGTGCTGAGGAGTCTGCGAGGGGAGTGGAGCTGAGAAGGGCACTACCTGAAGGCCTCGATGAGCCGTTCCACCTTCTGGGCCTCCCCCTGCACACGGATGTGAGCCTGGAACTTCCGCAGGGCCTCATCTAGCTCCATGCTGGAGAAGTCCATCTCGTCGACCACACAGCTGAGGGCAGGCAGGAGGAGGGGTCATGAGAACTTTCCTACACCCACTAGGGCTGAAGGGGAAAGTGCAGCCTCCCTATAGCTGGAACTTCCCCTACTAGTGAAGCAGGAAGAGGCTTGGGCTCTGTAACCAGTGGGAGGGGACCAGAACAGGGACAGTCTTACTCCTGTCTCCCAGGGTTCACCTCCTCCCCCAGGGGTCTCACTTTAGTAACCTAAAAGAACACTTTCTCAGTTTCTCTCACTTAATACAATAACCCTGTGGGGCGGGCAGCTCAACTAGTATCTCCATTTCACAGCTAAGAAACAGAGGCCCAGAGAGGTTAGCCGATTGGCCAGGGTCACAGAGCTGGAGAAGGCTGAACACAGATCTTCTGAACCAAATCCCAAGACCTTTCTTCTCAACCTCAGAGTCAAACAAAGTTTAAAAATGGACACTAGGTACAGTTTATTCTTCTGTATTTTCCCCTAGTTTAACTTTCAATTTCCCATTTGGGTTTCTAGGTGAAATCTCCTCCTGCAAGCAGCGCCCCCCACCCTACCCCCATGTTCTGCTTTAGACATAATAATAAAAGAGCCACGACAATCCTAAGTTCTTAGTCACTTTCTCTAACTAGTCATCAGCTCTTAGGGAAGGCTGGGAGAAAATGGAGGCCTCTGGAGAGTAAATGACAGATTTGGCTTAATGTGGGAAGGGACAGTGTGACAAACAGGGCTGAATTCTCTGGGGGACCTAGATTCTGGTCCTGGCCTGACCACTCTCTGTGACCTCGGCTTGCAGATTGAGTGCAAGGAGCCTGAGCTTCCTCTTCTGAAAGGGAAGAAGTCAGAGTCCCTGCTCCCCAAGGGTCCTTCCACCTCTGAAATGCCACCTCCAGCCCCTGAGGGGTATGGTAAGAGAAGGGATCAGGTACCAAAGTCACCCAAACAAGGCAGTTATTCCTCTGGCCTGACTTGCTCCACAGACCTTCTTTCTCCTTTTCAGAGATCTGGGGCCAAGACCCTCCCAGCTCCACCACCTCTTCCTCCTGCTTTACGCTCCTTTGGGGTGCTCTGGGCCTGGGATTGTGAGCAGTGAGGCAGGAATCTGGGCCTGGTAAAGCAGCAGACCGAGTGTCCCTTGAGAAATTTTCCTTCAGTAGAAGCTTATCACAAGACTCACTGGACTAGGCTTACAGGTGCCCACACAGCTCTCAGACATGACTTCTCCCCCTTTACGCCTACACTCTTTCAATCTTCTCTCTCATGCTTAACTTATAGCCAGGCCCATACTGTCCACTGAGGAGTGGATAGCCCCCTCTTAGCTCCCTTGTTCCCTTGAGCCAACTCTGCTAAAGTGTTACAAACCTGAGGGGTACTAACCTGTCTCCTACCCATCCCCCTTCGAGGACAAGAGCTGGGTCATGCTCACATCTGTGATCCCAGAACTTAGCTCAGTGCCCCATACACTGAGGGGACTCAAAAAAATGTTTCCTAAGTGGTGGGATGAGCTCTAAGCAGGAGCCACTCTCCCATGATCCCCCAGACCCTGTTCTCTGGTCAGTCTTTAGGAGAAAGCAAGGGGAGACTCCATGTGGTAGTGGTCTGGTACCTGGTGGTGGGAGGACTTTGCCTCCCCCACTCCTTTCAGGAGGGAACAAGGAGGACAGGGGATTGCAGACTTCTGGAGAACGACAGCAGAGGGGCAGAGCAGACAGCCATCTTCAAGCTGGGAGCTCCTCCCTGGTTGGTAAACCAAGCCTTCCCTCAGGCTTGTCTGCCTGGGATGGACAGTAGATGAGAGGATAGGGCTGGGAGGTGGCCATAGGCAAGAATTTTGACCAAGTATGAGAACTGGTGATGTCAATGTCTGGCCATCTGCAGCAGACAGGGCAGTAGAGGTCTCCAGGGCCAGCAGCCTCCTCCAGCTTCCCCTGGATCTTGGCAGCCCTTGTCACCTCTACCCTGTACCCTCCCCAGCTGGAATGTGAGCTCCAAGGGTAATATCATGGAGTCCATATGTGTGTACCCCAATAGGCAGCCCATCAGAAAGTATGAATCAAGTTTGACTGAGCCATACAGGGGTTGGTGAACCACAGGGCTGTGTCCAGTGGGGACAGAAGGAAAAAAACTTGGAGAAGGTGAACCAGTGTGGTCGAACAGCAAGGAGAGCAAGAGCTAGAGCCTGGAAGAAAGCAACAGTGAGAAATACAGAGAGGCAAATGACAGGGACAGAGAGAACAGAGAAAGACACAATGAGGGAAAGAGAGAGAAGGAAAGTCAGAGAAAGAGTGAAAGAGAGTAAAGGTGGGGAAGTGGGGAGACAGGAGACCAACAAAAGGGAGAGAAAGAGACATAGGGACAGAGAACAGGAGAAAAACAGAGACAAAGAGGGAAAGGCAGTGAGAGAGAGAGAATGAGAAAAACAAAGTGAGAGACAAGAGAAACAAGATGGGAAGAATCAGAGAGACAAAAAAAGTCATAAGAGATAAGGGGTGAGAAAAACACTGTAGACCAGAACTGGTGGGCTGGGGGGCCTGGGGCATGAAAGCAGGGTCATACTGCACCCTCACACCAAGAGCCCCCTATTCTTGTGAGGTCAAGGAGGAGAGTCCCTTAAGGGAACCCAGAATGGCCCACGGTCCCTTTAGTCTGACCTCCAACTGCTCCCCAGGAGGTGCCCCCGTAGGTCTATCTATTCCTGCCCCCTACACCTGCCCCGCTCTCTCCTGAAGTCCTGGCATCCCACTTCCCTTGTTGGTGCCCCTTCCAGAGCCTCTCTGTATGTACCCTCTGCCCAGTGCTCTGGATCAGTCCTCACTCCACAGTGCCCAGGGCACTTGGGGGAGGCAGCAGCAGGAGGGGGCAGGAGCAGCTGGAAGAGGGTGAGATCTGCTCAGCCAAGCACGATGGCCTAGTTTCCAGCTCTTCACTCAGGTGACACTCAGCCCTCTCACATGCTCGCTCATGTGGGGCTGCAGCTAAGAGCTTCAGTAATGAGCCGGGAGCCCAAGAGCCAAGGTCTGGGATGGGAGATACAGTCAGGTAGAACCACAAGCCATGGAACGGGAATATTGAATAAATCAATCATGATTCACTGAGTGGAGTGAAGGGTTCTAGGAGGAGGACACCTAGGCCTTAGAACTGGAAGAGTCTCAACATCAAACATCATCCAGCTTGTGTCCTGAGGACCCCATGTTAGAGTCACAAGGAGGGTTTGCTAAAATGCACAGCCCTGGGCCTCACCCTACATGCCCCAAATTAACATATTTGGAGATGGAGCTTGAGAATCAGCACTTTTAACAAGCTCTCCAAATGGTTCTTAAAATTTGAAAACCAATGGCTGATTTGAGTGCAACGTAAGAGGGGTTATGGTCCATGTGAAGACTTTTAAAACTTGAGTCCAGCAATTCAAGGGTTGCCAGGGCAAGAGCTTATGGGGACACGTATGTCCCCACCAGGGTATCAGGTGCTGCTTTTGTATTGGGAGTGGGAAGGAAGGAGGGAAGAAAGTATAGACACACACACATACAATTTCCTGCCTTCCTCTCTTCAATTGCCACCACAGGGCACCAGCATTTAGTGGTGGTCTGGGTTTCTCAACATTTTTCAGCCATAAACCCCCAGATGGAAGGATGGAACCTGTGCTGAGTGGTATGAAGGCACTACCCTGCTCCATGAGACACTGCCTCTCTCTTGAGGAGGACTTGCCCCTCAGACATCTCTATAGAGAGCCACACACCATCGCTAAGGGCACTGCAGATGCTCCCAAAACGCAGAGGACCAAAACAGCACTCCTGCCTAGCTTTGGAGCATACCTCACAGTGACTGGCTATCTACCCCCAGCCCCCCATAGCAGACATTTCCTTCCTGGTGGGGCCTGTGTCCTACTGGGAAAGGTGGCTGGGATAAGTCTGAACTCTCTACTAGCAAGGCTACTCGCGGCCCCTGTCTCAGGGTCTCCATCCTTTCAGGCTTAGATACAATCTTCCCACTCCAAGGACCAAGGTCACCCTGGAATCACCCACAACTCTTGCCCTCCTTCCCAGGATGACTCTTTTCACCTTCAAATGATAAGCTTCAGCCTTGTGGTAGTTAAGTTTGTGTGTCAACTTGGCTGGGCTTGGTTGAGTGGCTAGGCAGCTGGATGTAGTTATTCCCCATGGTGAGATTGGTAATTAACTCCATGGTAGAATCCATTGGAACAGCTGAGTAGCTGCTTTAGGGATGTGGTCTGCTTTCAGTACGTAAGAAGCAATTTTGAAGAAGGTCTCTAGCTTTTTGGCACCCTTGAACCCTGCATGTAGCCAAGTCTTCATTCAGTAGCCTGCCATGCTCTGTCGATCTTGAGACTTTTAATGGATTTGAATCAATGGCTTGCCATGTGGTTTTGTAATATCAGGACTATGCCTTTTCACTTGGGTTTGTCAGCCTCAGCAGCCAGCATCTGCCTGAGTGAAGAGATGCCTCTAGCGTCAATGGGCCGGGAGCAAGAGACAGAGCTCAAGCCCAAGGCTGAGGGGCTTTCACCCAGCCCAAAGAGCCTGGCACTCTGAACTTGGACTTCTAGCCTCCAGAACTGTAAGAAGATAAACTCCTGTTTATTAAAGCCTTCCCATTTGTAGTATTTGTTAGAGCAGCACTAGGTAACCAAAACAAGCCCACACCTTCAGTATAAGCTTGACTTACACCTTTCCTAGCTCCCCATCTCTCTTCTCTTCTTTCACCATCTTTCCTATTGCTTCTCTTACTTTACCATACCTATCATCACTTAAAGATCCTTGGGTGGCAAATGGTTGGCTCTCAGCTACCAACTGAGGAGTTGGTGGTTCAAATCCACCCAGTGGTGCAGCAGGAAAAAAACCTGCTTCTGTATAGATTGCAGCCAGGAAAGCCCTGTGGAGTTTAGTTCTCCTCTGTAGCACATAAGGTCACCATGAGTCAGAATCAACTCAATGGCAACAAGGTTGGTTTTGTGGTTTTTACCAGTGTTTAAAACCTTACGCCTCCCACTTCTCTTTG